TGCTAATAAAAAGCACTGACACTCTACTGACACTGGGCAGGAAGGGGTTAACATCTGGGGTGATCAAAGGGTTAACTGCCGAGAATCGCCGGCTGGGACCCGATGATTGACATGCCAAGGATCCAATAACACTGTGGGTAGAGAGCGCGCACCCCCTACTTGTAAATACAAAATCTTGTGTGTGTGAGATTGTGCGCATCCCTGTAGCAGTACTTCTGCTATCGGGCGGTCAGAAAGCAATTAACTTGTTTCTCCCTGACTTTGAAAAAACCACCCATTGAAACCATCAGGGATATTCCCTTGGAAATTCTTGCCAGCAAAGTAGCCTTTTTGGTCACTACAACATCTGTCGGACAGATTTCTGATTTTGTGGCCCTTTCTTGTAAAGAGCCCTTTTCCTCCATACTTCACAATGTCAAGGCTGTGTTATGCCTAAGACCATCTTTTCTTCCAAAGGTGGTTGCAGCGTTCAAGCTCAATGACGACATTGTTCTGTCATCCACCATACCCTGCTCCTAAGAATTTGCTTGGATGTAGTCCAAGCCATTGGGGTGTATTTGAAAACTAATGTTTTATTAGATAGGTTGCCTGGTTGTTTTTTTACAAGGGATCTGCAGGGGGCACACGTCTTCAAAATTCACTATTGCACAGTGGATAGAGATTTTGATTACAAGAGCTTGTACAGAAAAACACTTCCTTCTGAGGTGTTATGCTGCCACTCTCCCAAATCTATTGGAGTATCCTGGGCTATAGGCACCAAGCCTCTGTTACCCAACTCTGTAAGGTGGACACTTGGTGTTGACACTTCTCAATTTTTTTTTTTTACCAGGTAGATGCCCATTCTTCTGCAAATGCAGCTGTCTCCTGCAGTGTTGTTGCACCGGCACCCTAAACCCAGGGTTAACACATGATCGTTAGGCCTGTTGGCACAGTTCTGTTTGCCTAGTTATTGCCCATCCTTATATTGACTACTTGGGGACTTCCCATGCACGAATAAATTGCCTGTGCCTTGTACTGTACAATTAAAATCAGGAATTTTGGCTTAGCTGTAATTTCCATGTCTTGGAGTACAGGACATGAGCCACCTTCCGTAAAATCTTGTTATCCTGCATCGCTTGCTACAAAGCTGAGGACTTGCATAGTGCAGTAGGGTTCTAGGAAAGGTTCCCTAGTGAGGTATAGGCTCAAGGTATGAGCCTGTGGTGTATGAATTAGGAGCCAGTGTCCAGTACTGTACTCCAAGCTCTAGAATTTACAGGCAAGTCAAATTCCTCTTCCAATTTGTGGCTCTTCTATTCAGCCTGTCCATACCACCGTGGGTTTTCACCAAGCTGCTTGTACTCCTCTAAGCTCATGGGGACCCCCATTGTGGAATGTTTGGATCCTCTACTTCAAGCAGAAAAGGGAGATCTTGTTGGCAGTGGCCAATTGATGGTGCAAACTCTGCAGAGCTGCAGGTGATCCTAAATCTCCAGAAGTCAGAGAAGGGGAAAATGGTGATTCATTACACCAAACTGGCCCAGAAGAACCTGGTACACAAAAAATACTCACTTCTAGTAGATGACCCCTGAGGACCTCTCCCAACAAGCTAGATCTGTTCTCAGGACCCTCTATTCTATGCTGCTTTTCAGTCTCTGGCCTTTAAAGTGTTACTAAACCCACAACAGTAAAATCAGTCTGTATATGCAGTAAATCATGCTTGTTATACTCACTGTGGAACCTAAGAGGTTAATCCTCTACATTGTGTAAATAGGCTGTTTAATCCTGACTTTTCTGATCCTCCCCTTCTTCTAGGGTCTCCCTCTTATCTCCTGATAAGACATATATCGTGTGGAAACACTCTGCATATGGTCAGTTTAGTGTGCATATGGTCAGTTTAGTGTGTATTGCTAGAAGGGTGTTTTTTTTTTTTTTTTCTTGGGAAAGTTCTTGTGAGCAGCACAGGGCCAATAAGCACTGTCCCGAAAGAGGTCAGGGGTTTTGCATCCTCCTAGAGCAGAAAGAAAACGCCTCCTACAAGCTTTACCGTGTTCTCTGCTGAACACTGATAGAAGTCACAAGACTGCTGTAACTGCCGATGAGAAAAGGTATAGCCGTTTATTTTTACTAAAATAATTGCATATCCATGTTCTGTGCACTGTGGGAGACCAGATGGAGTGAATGTAGGATCCTAAGTTTATTAACACGTTAAGCCTAGGTGTCTAAAAAGATGGTGGTCTCGGAGTCTGGTACTCCTACCCTGCTGAAAGCAAGAAAAGCTGCTTACAGGAAGATCTAGTGTACCTGAAACCTTTTTTTTGCCTGGTGTGAACACAAGGCACTGCAGATATTTCTTGGTGCCTTAACTTAAGCAATTTGAAAAAGACTGGTCAAGGCTGAAACATGTCCTTTCAAAGACATCTGCATTTTCCGTTTCTTGCAAAAACGTCTTCAAGGTGTATCTTGCATTAAGCCTCCATTGCAGCACCCTGTACTTCTTTGGGATTTCAACTTGATTCCTTCTGCCATGCAAAATCCATTCTTGGCACCCATCAGGGCTATTCCCTTAGATGACATCTCCTACAAAGTAACCTTTTTGGTTGCCATTACATCTGCCAAACATTTCTCTGAGTTGCTGGCCCTTTCTTGTAACGTGGCTGTCCCTCACACTTTACAAAGAGAAGGTTGTTTTTCTACCTCAATAAGGCCATAGTCTACCCATCCTCTGCTCCAAAGCATCAAAAGGAAACCTCTCTTCATTGGCTAGATACGGAGCCAATTTAGTCTTTAACCATTAGCCGCCCGGCCAATGGCTGTTTGGCGGCTTCAAAAGTGCTTCGGCATTCCGGGTGCACGCCATTGGGCATGCTCCTGCACATGCGCAGTTTGCGCTAATGCAGAGCCGCGCAGCGGCGCGATCTGTCACCGGCTGTGTACCTCGGACACAGCCGATGACAGATCTGAGTACCGGCCCCGTTGTTGGTACCATGTGACCTGCTGTGACCAATCACAGCAGGTCACATGACAGTTGTGTACAATGGATGGCTTCATTCATGCCATCCATTGTATATTAGTGCCTAGCTGTGAATGGTCACAGCTAATCACATGCACATGTCATGTGATTAGCTGTGACCAAATCACAGCTAAGCAAAAAAAAAAAAAAAAAACTTGAATGAATCGATTTCATTCAGGTAAATGCTTGCTTATAGCAAAGTAATTCTTTGCTATAAGCAAATTGTGTAAAAAAAAAAAAAAAAAACTGATCACTTCCCCAAAGTAGTACAATGTTACTATGGTAACATTGTACTACTTTGGTCATAGTAAAATATGAAAAAAAATCTTAAAAAAAAAATAAAAAAAAGTAATAAAAAATAAAAAAAAAAAAAAAAAAAAAAAAAAATTTTTTTTTTTTTCATACTGTCACCAGTGTCCCTGTTCACCGCCATGCCAGTTATATGATGACGCTGTACTGCACTGGTGACAGTATGTAAAAAAAAAAAATAGTGAAAATAATTTTTTTAATTTTTTAATTTTCCGAAAAATTATGACAAAAAAATACAACTTCAAAAAACTCGCCATGCCTCTTATGAAGTACGTCAGACTGTCTACTCTGCAAAAAGGGGTCATTTGGGGGATATCTGTACTATTCTGACATTCTTGGACCTCAAGAAATTAGATTGGCTGTCAGTACTTCAGGATTGATCAATATTCAGATATACACCATAGTTTGTGAACTCTATAACTTTCCTACAAACTAAATACATCCTAATTTGGGTTATTTTCATCAAAGACATGTAGCAGAATACATCTCGGCCTAAATTTATGAAGAACAATTATTTATTTGTAAACTTTTATAACAGAAACAAAGAAAAACGTGTTTTTTTTTTTTTTTCAAAATTTTTGGTCTTTTTTTGTTAATTTAGCAAAAAATAAAAACCCCAGCGATGATTAAATACCACCAAAAGAAAGCTCTAGTTGTGTGAAGAAAATGATAAAATTTTAGTTTGGGTACAGTGTTGTATGACCGCGCAATTGTCATTCAAAGTGTGAGAGCGCTGAAACGTGAAAAATGGCCTGGGCAGGAAGGTGTAAAATTGCACGGTATTGAAATGGTTAAAGTCACAGCTTTGATCAGAAAGATGGATTCCCTATTTGTCCTGTCCACAGGACCTGCTTCTAACTTCACCTGGGCTTTTTGGCAGCAAGTCTCTATAGCCCAGCTTCCTAAGGCTGCCATCTGGTCCTTTGTTCATACGTTTTCAAAGTTTTACCAGATGTATGTTCAATTTTCTGTGATAACCGCTTTCAGCTGCAAGGTCCATAACGCAGCCCTCTGAATTTGGGTCCTTTTCCCTTCCAAGGAATTTCCTTTCCTTGTTGGGTCTGTTGGCTCAGTTCTGTGCCTGGTTGTTGCCCACCCTTCTCATTCATTGCGTATGGACATCCTAGGGTCTTTGCCTGTGTCCTATACTGTACGGTTAAGATGACTGGAATTTCGACTTGCCTGTAAATTCCATATCTTAAAGTACAAGAGAAGATACGGGCCACCCTCCCTTCCATTCCTAGGTTTCTCTGCATTGCTTGCTGCAAAATTGAGGATTCATGAAGTAGAGGAGGTACCCAGGGGGCATGTACTCAAAAGCTTTGCCAGTGTCCAATCACCTGAAGATACAAGCCTATAACCCAGGGTCATTGAATACTTTGCCTGTGTCCTGTACTGTACTCCGATTTGGAGTTTACACTTAAGTCAAAGTTCCTTTTTTTCCCCGTAATTTCCACAGCTCCTAGAAGTGATTATGTGGCTTTACAGCTACCTTGATCACTTTTACAATAAATCCCAGTGTTTGCGGTCTGGTAGTACTTCTATATTAGACGTAACAGCACATGAGTCACAGATTCTACTGTTGTGGGTTTTTTTTTTTTTTTTTTTTTTTTTTTGAGTCCTGTAGGAAAATTCAGCAGTTATACAAGTTGTTTTTCATATTCACATTGTAAAAGATTAGTTTTATTTTTCTTTTTAGGTGTTTGTGCCCTCAATGGAAAGTTATATATTATTGGAGGGTCAGATCCTTACGGCCAAAAAGGACTTAAAAATTGTGATGTGTTTGAACCCTTTACAAGGTCATGGACAAGCTGCGCTCCACTTAACATCCGTACGTAATAAATATTTTATAGCCCCCACCCCTTACTTTCTGTCAGTCTTTCTCTTTGTAATCTTTTTCTTCATTTTGCTTAGAACCAATGATGTACAAGATCAGCTAAAGTTTTTATAGTAACAAATGTAGTCTTTATACAGTGTACTGGTGTTAATTGGCTACAATTGAATGATGTATCTGTGTACAATGTGGCAGTTTTATATCCTAATTCTAAGTGGTAATATCTATTACAAAGACTAAAAACTCATATGTACTCTACATTTCCAAATCCTACAGGAAGGCACCAGTCTGCCGTTTGTGAACTGGACAATCATATGTATATCATTGGAGGTGCCGAATCATGGAACTGTTTAAATTCAGTAGAGCGGTACAATCCTGAAAATGATACTTGGACCTTAGTAGCACCTATGAATGTTGCTCGCCGCGGTGCTGGAGTTGCAGTTTATAATGGTAAAACCTCTTTATATTTAAAAACTTAACTGAAACCAGCTGGAATTTGGTAGCATTGGTAGAACAATTGGTGATCAATGTGATCTTGGTGTTGGCCTTCATTTACTGTACTAAAGCAAAAATGGCATGGAATATGGTCAAGCAGGAGCACATCCAACTAAATTCAGCAATGTAGATACTCCACTCTATCCAATATCTGGATCTCAACATCCCTGCTTTCTGACTACCAGTCCTATAATCACTAGCTGCAGACTATAGCAACCAAATAGCATTAAGCAACTACTAAGTTGTGACTGGATGTATGTAAACACTAAAAAAACCATACAGAGCAGGTATGAGGTTTTCCGTGTAAAGCACCTAACAATTTGAGGTTTAGACGGACAAGGCAAGTCTGTCATGTAAACGAGGGAAAAATCTGTTTAAATTGTTTCCATAGGGCAGTCTTTAGTGATGTAGTAAAAACGGGGAAATGATAGCAATCACATACAGTGAAATCATGGTGGGTCAGAGCAGACACCCAGGTTAAAAATACTATATTTCTTAAATACAGTAAGTCCCCTACTTTGGGTTCTGTTCAGGGAATTTTTTCATGAGTCCAATTTGTTAGTAAGTCTAACAAAGTGAGGTTTGTAATAATTTTCACATAAATAATGCATAAAAAACAAACAATACTGTAAAGAAAAAAAGGTTTAATTTGCAGCACCTTGATATGTATAGTACAGTACAACAGCTGGAATACAGAGGCTGGCATGAAGTAAACAGGCAAGACCACTGCTTTTAAGCTTGCTTCCAGACATTCTGGGCTTGAAATCAACACTAATACTGTACACTATTGTACTATACAGTAAAGTACACAGTAGCACAATCGCTTGTGATAGAGGGTGCACACAGCTGACAATGTCCAGTAGACACGTGAGCTACTTTTGTGATTTGACATGTGAATGCACATCTTTGAAAGTTCGCAACTTGAACGTTCATATCTCTGAAAGTTTGGAAGGTTCATAAGTAGGGGACTTACCACTCACCTCCCGCTATATTGCTCCCACGCTGGGCATTGCGTTTGATGTTGCTACTTTCTCCTGCTTTGGTCCCCAAGCTTTTCTGTCCTCTGCCACTCAGTCCTTTCTTTCCGGTCCTTATTCACCTTCCGCTATAGGGTTCCCATGTGTGTCATCTGCTAGTTGCTCCGCTCCAGTCCAGGCCCCGCTCACCTTCCTGCTCCTCCCTGCTGAACACCAGATGTGAAGTCTGCTCCAGACACTTCCAGAATATAAACACATGAACCAGAAGTGACTACTGTCATCTTAGTATGTCTATTAGAAGACAGTTGTGTGAATAAACCATAAATAATTGTTGCGCTGCCTCTAGTCCCATGGTATAGAGGAACATGAATGTTTTGTCGGTCACTAACACGTATATAGGGTGGTTTAATCACTCATTAGAGGCAGCGCAGCAATTATATATCTCCTCTGCCCTTACATCATCTAATCTCACCAAGATCGGTGTGATCAAATGCTATCCCAATTTACAAATGGCTCTGTTTAAATCATGCGAAACTGAAGTGAATGCTCGTAGCTTCCGATATCTTGGACTATAGAGATGATTGGCGCCATTCCGGTCTCCAATCAGCTCTATGGTCAGCTGGCAGAAACACCAGCTGCATTCTCGGGTTCCCCTGATGACACGGGACTGCCCAAGAAGGCTGTGGAAGGCAGCGGGGGAGGGGTGACATCTCCCGCTACTTGTAAAAGCAGTCCTGCAGCTAATTAGCCACTAGGATTGCCTTTACACGAAAGCCGATCGCCAGCTGATGCCTGCAGCTGCAGGCATCATCCTGCTATAACCACTCAAAGTCCGGTGATGTACTAGTACATCGCTGGTACTTGTTGGGTATTGTGCTATTTTTTTTTTTTTTTTTTTTATGCAGCCTGTGGGCTGAATGGGGAAAAAAAGAAAGTGTGTTGTATGCCCACCATTAGAATATACCGCCCTGTATCCACCCACTTCTAATGGTGAGCACACATGAAATGTTTTGTTTTGTTTTTTTTTGTCGTGAAAAACAGATTCCTCTATTCACATTGGTCGATGTGGATGAAGAAATCTCTGGCAAAAAATTTTTTTGTTGAGATATATATACCAAAGCATAGGGGTCATCCACCCACTGGCCACCTCAGGTCCCATGGATGAAAAATCTCATCCAACAGTGCTGCACACACTTAATTATGTATATTCTGAGAGCAAGACCCTCTTGCTGTCAGAATCAACAGGTTGGTGCTGCAGCTGAATGGCATTCCTGCAAAGAAAACAGCAATGGTTAACAATAAAACAGTAAAATCATAACTGTAGAACAGTAACTCGACAACAACAACAAAAAATACAAGTATTTTTGGTTTTTAAAGTTTAAAAAAAAAAATTTGTACTTGTACTTTTTTATGTATTTTTTTTTTTTTTTTAAAACTTGAACTTAAACAGATTGTAGGGTCTTTCAACATGCAATAGCCATTTTCCTGACTAACATCTTTTGGGACCCTGTGCAAATATGTGCCCTGAACTGTGCCGTAACCTATACTAATACTTCACAGTGTGTTGTAGCAGTCCTTGAGGTAGAGACCAGGCTGGCCAGGACAAGAGGGTCAGAAAAAAAAATGGGCATCACGCCTAATTCCATGTCTGCTACAGGCACATCTTTTTTGGGGTGTCCTTTTGGGTTGGGGTACCAGGAATGGCATTGGGAAAATGCCTCTCATGCAGCCGACTAACTGCATCTGGGTTGGGAGTTTGCGCCATAGCACCTTCTGAATACAAAAGGGCCATGATAATCTCTTCCTGGAGTTTTAGGAAGGATCCACTACGTCCAGTTGCTTTGTAAAGCACAAAAGCATTATATAGAGCCAATTGATCTGATCAAAGATATTGATCCTTTCAGACACTATATTACCAATGGAGGTTTATTGTGTATGTGCCCAGAGAGAGAAGGTTGCCTCATTTCTTGTACCTGTGTAATTGTAAACACAGGTACAGGAAGATCAGTGATAGGCCAGGGATCGATCATTCGATTTAGGCCGAACATCACTGGCCTAAATCTGATGATTTATCCCTTGGGGACTGAATCATGGCACCCGCCTTCTTGGAGTCCATTGAGAGCCACTGGTCCAATATGATCTTTCGCTTAGTACTTTTTTTTTTTTTTGTCTGCAAAACTGAGGCATGTAGGTAGTGTGAGGGTTATATTTGGCTGGCATACAGTTTGTTTGGTAGTGTCTAATCCTCTTATAAGCATCAGTAGAGGTGATCAAATACCGCCAGAAGAAAGCACTATTTGTGGTACAAAAAAAAGGACATAAATCTCATTTATGTACAGCATTGCATAACCGTCAGTTAAAATAACACAGTGCCGTATCGCAAAAATGGCCTTGTCAGGAAGGGGGGTAAATCCTCTGGAGAGCAAGTGGTTAAAGCAGTATTGGGCGAATTTGATATGACTTTAGTGCCAGAGAGTGTAAATTTGCATCAAAGTAGTGCAGGAACCTTTTCAAAGTCACTGCCACTTTAAGTGACATCGATCTGAATGGGTGCTATTGAAAACAATGGGCTGCGACATTTTGTGTCCAAAGTCACATGACAAGTCACACTAGTGTGAACCAAGCCTCAGACCCAAAACAAAAATGTTATATGTTGCAGCTTTACCAAGCCTTAGATGTGGTAGCATCTGTTTTTCTCTTTGTGATCCAGCTATTAACCCCCCTGGTGGTATTCCTGAGTGCAGCTTGGGGTTAACGTTCAGTACCAGAAGCGGTAACCCCGAGCTACACTTGGGATTACACTGCAGCGTTGCTCTTGGATCCCTCGAGCACTTACCTTGTTCCCTTGGTACCTTGTTACCTTGGTCCCACGATGTCCCCCCTGCAGCGTCCCCAGCCATGTCGTCTGGCCAATGCCAGCATCCATCTTCCTGGACGTACGGGGGGACGTAACCGGCGGGAAATTCAAAAATGTAAAAATTTGACATTCACTTAATACACTAAAATCTGATAGTATTACATTACTGTATCAAACCATTTCACATACATTTTGTCCCTAGTGCTTTGTCCTGTGCCCTGCCTGCATTTTTACAGTTCTTTCTGCCTGGAAACTGAGAAATGTCCATGGCATCCAAAAAGCGTCCCTTTATGTCAAAAGCGGTTTTAGACCAGCTAGAGAACAGCGATAGTAAATTTAAAATCACGTGAGGAAATTTGTCATCAGACACTGAAAACGATTTTGCGACTGAGCTCAGTGATGTGCGAACTTGGCAATGTATTTAAAATTTCAGTGTTTTTGGTTTGATTACATTATTGAATTAAATTTATTATTATTTATGATTATTTATTATAATATAATTTATGATTTTGTGTTTCAAATTTTATCATACCCGGGATGATTACTAGACTCTTGTTCGGACAGATTTCAGTGAGTTATTCCTAAGAATTACAGGTCTGCAATAAAAAAAAACATATTTCCATTGAAAACATTGTACTGCTTTGAGCACAGAAATACTGACATAATCATACCACTAGGGAGGTTAAAACACTTATGGTATCTGCATTCTGGGTGAAGTAGTAAAGAAGACATCTTTTGGACAACAGCATTGCCATGGAGGAGAGACAGATTTAGCTTTTTTTTTTTTTTTTGTCTTTAAAGAATAACAAAATATGTACCAAAAATCCCCCATATTTACTTGTACAAAAATAATGATTTCACCATGCATTTCGGGTATTTCTATTCACTCCAGAATGGCAGCAATAATTCTAGGGCCATCATTCACTAATTTTAAACTGATGAGCTATAAAGGCTTTTAAAGCATTGCCTACGGACAGTTTGGGGTGTCTTATTTTTTCAGTGTTTCATGGGTGCATGCAGATTTGAGACTTTATGTATTTGGTATTGAAAAACTTAATTCAATGTTTTTTTTTTTTTTTTTTTTTTTTTTTTTTTTTTACTAAAAAAAATTTAGCATATTACATTGTTTGCCCAAAAGTTCATTTGAATATGTTTTACTGACGGTATGGATTTGGTAGTTTCACGAATATCATGTAAGAAAAAATTGGTTGGGCATTAAAGCTTACATAAAAAAAAAATTTTTTTTTATTTACTTTATTAGCATTCTGCTTTGCTTGACTTTGTAACCTAAAGCCTATTTATTTGTTTGCAGGTAAACTTTTTGTAGGAGGAGGTTTTGATGGCTCTCGTGCACTAAGCTGTGTGGAATCGTATGACCCTGTGAAAAATGAGTGGAAGATGGTTGGAAGCATGAATTCTTCGAGAAGCAATGCTGGTTTAATAGCTATAGGAAACAACATATTTGCTGTTGGTGGATTCGATGGCAATGAATTCTTGAATACAATTGAGGTTTATAACACTAGTATAAATGAATGGAGCACGTACACCAAAATGTGCAGATCTAAAGCCTGGTAGATCTTTCTTTTTATCTTGCAAGGGGTGACCAAAAAGTAAATAGAATGACAAAACAAATTTTTTTTTTTTTTTTTTTTTCTAATTTTGAATGCGTTTGTCCTTGGAGCACCCCAAGGCACACTGTTAATGAAACTTTCATCTTTGTGCTCCAGCCAGACATTGCCAGTAAATACTGGTTATCAGAAATGTTTCCCCTACAAAGCTATCATCAGATGTTAAAGTATAAAAGGTCATCTATAGACTGGGCCGAAAGTTTGCTGGAACCTTAAGTGGGATTTGGTTATTTTCTATCATATTTGGGTACCTTTCAAAAATTCATTTGCACAGAAGCTCACAGGTCTGTTACAGAAACAATGAACACCTTTCCGTGTGCTGTGGTGTATTCAAAATGAATGGGATGCAGCACAGTGCATGAAAATACACCACAGCACAGACCTTTGTGCCATGGAATGTCATTTAAAAGGAATGCAACTGCAGCACAACAATTTCTGCCTGTGTTACGAGAGAGAGAGAGAGAACCAAAAAATGTCAGCCTGTATTGGAATACAGTATTTTAAAGGCTTACCTTACTTAGCTATAAAACAAGTTAGAGGTCGCAACTACCCAGGAGTGATTCTGTGGACTTATTGATCACCCCTCGTACATTTCACTTCAGAGTGTCATGATGATCCCTTGCTTCAGCGGTTTTCATATTGTATATTTGTTTTGTAAATTAACTTAGATGCTCATTGAAAAAGGTTCTTTTGAAATTGGCATGTGCTGCCTCTGCATATATAGTACATCCAAGTGCATGTACTGCAGCACGTGTACTGGGAAACTTATATGTTGTACTGTATGTTCCCTTCTGTGGCTCTTGGAGCTTTATGCACAGTTCCGTTGGCCCACCGACGACGGGCTGAGAACAAGAGAATTTTGTAAGGCAGCTAACTAAAGAACCTCCTTTTAAGTATTTTTGCGCTTACTGCAAGATTACATCAACAAAAATTGACAAAATCATTGAGATTTATTTTTTCACAAACTTCTCAAAATAATTATGTACTGTACATATAAAAAAATAAATGCACTGAGTTGTAGAATTCCAATCAATAGTTTCTAGAAGGTGGAAGTTTTTAAATGTATGTGAGTGTTCTGTGTATTGTTTTCAGTACAGAATGTGCTCAAAAGCCTTATTAAAGTTTGAAGATTGATATTTTGATTATAAAGTGCAGGAATTGCCAAAACAGTAAATATTTTCAGACTGCCTTTTTATTACTTTTTTTGTAAGCAAACAATGAGAGGCGCAACTAATGTTATCATTGAAGATTTTTTTTTTATCTTTTGAAAGCGTTTCTTTTTGAAGGCTTTTACAATCACATTACATACTGTATATTTAAGTATTCAGATTCTCGAATACTTGCTGTAAGTTTCTTTTCCATTTATATTTTTCACTGTTTTAGAAAGTAGTAGCATATTTATTCTTTGGCGGTTTTTGTAAGTAAACAATTTTATGAAATCCAGCAATCCGCCAATATTAATTTTTTAGTGTCTTAAGAAGCCAATTTCTGTAATGTCTGTAATATAACTTTTTTCTATCACTGTAATGTTCACAATTCTTAAATAAACTGTATGTTAAAAAAAATGTGGTGTTAAAAAGAAAGTGATCTCTTTTCCATCTTTCTGTGTTGGTGGTTGTTTTTAATTCTTTTATGAGCATAGTTTTGGAATAGCAGCAAGAATACTAAAATAATTCAGTCTATTACCATAAACCTCTACACTTCTCGCAAACAAAAGCAAGCATAGCTACCATTTTAGGCTCAAGTTGAAATATTGGAAATAATATTTGATTGGCCCTATGCTTTGATCCTGCAAAGTATCTCCATGGCTTTCTGAAATGTTACAAGATAACTGCTTATACACCTGGTTAATGCTGCTAAAACATGTAATCCGCTGTTATGGAAATGGTAAGCCCCACCCTCATTGTCACTGGCTTGAAAAAGTAATGAAAAAAAGGAAAGTGAGCACCTAACCCTCTACTTTCAGAATAGGTGTGACCAAATTAAGAACACATTACTGGAATGAATTCACATCCAGCCCTGGAATATTGGTCTCTAATTCTGGAACCTAGTAACCCTAAAGTACCGTGCAAATCTCGAGGCCCATGGAGCATGCAGCTGTGAGTGATGCAGGAACTTAACCCCCCCCCCCCCTTTCCTCTCAGCCCCTTGGAACATGCAACTGAGTGGTGCAGCATCATAACCCCTCCCCCCTTTTTCTCCCCCCCCCCCCCCCTTTCCTCCCATGTGATAGGTAGTCAGGAAAGCACAAACCTGCTCCTTGGGTTTTAGGCATCACTATATAGCTAGACTGAAAAAAACAATCTGTGGTATTGTCATACTCTGGAGGAGTAGTGGTATGTGTTTGAAGTAAAATTCTAAGTGTGCTTATACTGTGTATTAGAAATATATTGACAACATATTCTCAAAATACTCCTTATGCTACTAGGTACAGTACTCTTATATTAGATGTATAATTTATAACCCTAAAAAGTCTTAAGATGTTCCTTGGATTTTGGCCCTTTTTATGTGGCTAGATTATGAAAAACCCACGTGTGGTATCCCCATACTTAGGAGTAGTAGAATGTGTTTTTGGGGTGTAATTGTAAGCATGTTAGTGCTGTGTGTGAGATTTAACTGTTAAAATGACAATTTTGTAGAAAAATGTTTATTTTCAAAAATGTTTGGGGGAAAAAAAAAAATACAGCTTTCAGAGAATTCACCATGCCTCTTACTAAGTAGATTCATTCATATAGGGGATGGGGGGGGGGGGGTTAAATTTGTACCTGGCATTTTAGGGCCTCAAGAAATGATGGTTTGTAGACTTTATACCTTTCAAACTAAATAATATACTTTTTTTAAATCTAAAGATAAGTAGCAGAATACATTTGGGTCTTAAATTGTAATTAAATTATTTGTAAAGGTTTATAACAGAAACTAAGGAAAAATATCCTTTATATAGCAAACCATATAAAAAAAACAAATCAGTGGTGATTAAATACCACCAAAATAAAGCTGTCTCAAAAAAACATAAAATTAAATTGGGTACAGTGTTGCATGACTAATTGTTCAGGCAACCTGTGTTTGCTTGGGCACGGCAACTCATTCATTCAAGGTGCATGCACCTTTTTAAAAATGCAGTCGCAGGGAAGTTGCATGGTCTTTTTGATTATTCGGATCCTATAAGCGGCCTGAGATGCGTAGGGGTGCAGAATGAATGGCAACCCCGCGTGTCTCATAAGACCAGCTCGATTTGGCAGCAGGTGGTTGCAGGAACAGCTGCAATACCCACAACCAGCCCGTACAGTGTGTACCAAGCCTCAAAGTGTGACACCGCTGAAAATTAGCCTGGACTTGAAGGGGGTTTAACATCAAATAGTTAATTGTACAATATAGGACACAGCCTGTAACCCAGCGTTTTTGAATATTATGCCTTTTACCTTTTTAGGTGAATGAACAGTAGCAAAGCTCTTGAGAGCACACCCCTTCTGAGAATCCTCCCCTATAACCCTGCCTAACTCTGTAAATCCTCCGTTTTTGCTAGTGTCCAAAGGTGATGGACCTCTTCTCCCTTGCAGAGGAATCATTCTTAGGTCTATTATTTTATAATTTTATCTTCAAATTCTTCAATCAACTCCTTACTGTCCTATATTACAATAGAAGCAGTGCGTCTGGATTGATGTTCCCTCCATTGAAACCATACCTGGACCCCAAGCTGTGCAGATGGCCTGTAATGTTGCTTTAGGCACTGGATCCTGCATAGGTGCTCACCTTGACACTTAGTGCAGTGTGTTGTACAGGTCCAGCTATAGAACCCAGGCCGTGAAGACGTCTTTGGGGTTATGCCCACCACAGTGTTTTTACTGCGGCAGGGCGGACCTCTGCGCAGAACGCCGCGGGCAGGTAGGGGGCACGTGCCCGCCCTACCTGTCCCGCTGATGGTGGCAGCGGGTGTTCATCACCGGGCCATTATCCACGGGCTCTGCGATTACTGGCAATCGCTGACAGAGAGCACGGCTGCAGTTTTTACACTGCAGCTCTATCTGTCAGTTCCAAGCACACGCTGATCCTGAGAGAAGAGTTTCTCAGGATCAGCATGTTCCTGTGAAGTACACCCCCCCCCCCTAGTAAAACACTCCCCTCACACAGTTAACCCTTTCATTACTTAAAAAATGTTAACCCCTTCCTCCTCAGTGCCATTAGTACAGTGTCAGTGTTTTGTTTTTGTTTTTTTTTTTGCACTGTATTGGTGTCACTGGGGATGTCAGTGACCCCAAGTCAGTTCCCCCAGTGTCAGAATGTCCGCCGCAGTCCTGCCATAAGTCGCTGATCACCGCCATTATTCTTAAATGTAAAAATCCTGTATCTATACCGCCATTTGTAAATGCTATAACTTTCACGAAAACCAATTAATTTACACGTATCGGGATTTTTCTTTAGCAAAGACATGTCGCAGAATACATTTTGGCCAAAAATTATGACAATTTGATTTTTAAATTTTTTTTACTGCACGCAAAAAGTCCAAAATATTGTTTTTTCTCAAAATTGTCACTTTTTTTTATAGTGCAAAAATAAAAAACGCACAGGCGATCAAATACCACCAAACGAAAGCTCATTTTGTGGGGGAAAAAAGGACGTAAATTTAATTTGGGTGCAGCGTTGCATGAGCGCGCAATTGTCATGCAAAAGTAATGCAGCGACGTAACACAAACCGCTTCTGTAACCGCTCCCTGACCGCCCTATAGCAGAAATACTGCTACAGAGTGGCATGGATGCACAAAATCACATACATATATATATATATATATGTGTGTGTGTGATTCACGCCCCTTCCAGATAGCATCAGATTGCCCGTCAGTACACCAGTCATCACATTTAACCCCTTGATTGCCAGGAACACGCTCATGCACACTAAACCTCCATTGCTAGTATAGTGTCTGAACGGATCAATACCTTTGATCAGATCAG